CCCGAGCGGCCCAATGACTGAGATTCACCTGGCCCCGAATTTTCTCGGCGGAGGAGAGACCGGAGCGGAGACTCCCGAGCCTCTTGAAGTTGATTTCAAGCACAGGCAGCAATGCACAAGCCCTGAGAACGTTCCGTGCTCCCCATCGTTGAGAGATTCGCAGCAATTATTGTAATCTGGCCCGGGGAAGAGTGAGAGGGACTCTCAGGGGAAATCGGGAAGAGCCCATGAAATGGGAATCCGATTCGACTCGTCACGGCTACGGCAGAGTCATTGGCGAGTAGGTGATTGGAAGTCGCTATTCGTCCTCGTAGATCAAATTGATTTTCGAGCATTGCGACAGTGCTCGGAGTTCCGCTCGTCTGCGGCCGTCAAATATATACCTGTGGTGACTCGCTACGTCATTCGCGTGTTCTAACCTCCCCTTGCGTGGAGTCCTGGCGGGCTTGAGGGGCGCTCTACATTCACGTCTGCTCCCTAGAAATACCCCGATACATAAACGGGATTTCGGAAATCTGAATCAAACTGAATGCCATTTTTACTTCGCAGTCTCATCAAATATTGTTCTGAGCATCAAATCAACGACGTTCTGGTTAATGGTGTGCCTCAGTCAGAGAATCCATTCAAGGAAAGCAAATCTTGTGTAATCCTATGAATTTCATGGCGAGCACCGTAGATCATCGAGAAAATGCCGAGACTTAGCGTGAGTAGAGCCTCGAATCCCGAACCTCCATGGAGGCATCCACTGAATATTATTCATTTTTCGAGCCGTAGTTTCCGCTTAATCGGACCTGGATGAAACGAGCTCGGTTTATCCAGTCCACCACCATGATACTTCGAAAAGGCGTCTGGATCTGCGCCTCCATCGAGGTGTGTCGTCGGGCACATCCGAGAATCTTGCCGAATATATTCACCGGTCGGTCCTCTTCCAGATCTGATGGTTCTTTCCCTGGTTTGAGGCTTGATTGGCAAGGGGAATCAGGCGCCAGACTTCCCTGATGGAGCAGCAACCTTAGGAGTAGCACAAGGACTACTTTCAGCAGACAACGGGATGAATTCGTGCATGTGGAGGGATGAATGCGGAAGCATGCTTGAGAATCTGACGTCGCTGCTCGAAGGACTCTTCTCCCCGCTCCCGAGAGATCCTGCGCCCTTTGCGGACCCGCTGAACTGAGCCGGACTAATCGACCGATGTTTCCGCCTGATAATAGGAGCGATCGCGACAAGTTCTGATTCCAATCGTACCTTGTTTGAGTAGCCAGCACGAGAACCTGGCGTTCTCGTCAGTATAGAGCTCCATGTAACGATTCGATGACTTTCGATCTCTCCTCTTCTGTCATGGCATTCGAGGCTCATCCGAGCGAATGAGAAAGGCCCGGAAACCCCATTGCGCTGGTCAGCTTTCCCGGCCAACGATACATTATACCTCTGCCTTAAGACCGTCCGAATGGAGGTTTCACCACTGATTTGCTCCCATCGGTCATGACAATGGAAGCGCTCAGCACCGTTCTCCGGCGACGCAGGCTGGGCGAGACAGTCGAGAGGGATAGAAGCGGAGTAACCGTTCGCTGGAAATACGACAATACTCATCCTTATAAGAGGGAGATTCGGTCAGTAATGCGCAGTAAAGACGAGCGAGTCTGGACAATTAACCTTGACGGACACCGGTCGGTATCCCAATACCTCTGCCTCTAAATACCTCTCAAATCTATTGACATCGTCGACAACAAAATGCACATCAATAAATGTTCGATTAGGCTCCTGATTGCCTTCCATGATATGCTCGTTCCAAACGGAAGCTGCAAAACTATCTGAAGCGTAACAACGTAGAAATCCTGAATCAGGTATCGATTTGGGACTCAAGACCGATGATAGGACCTAGAGGCTTATGGGGGAATCGCGGAGCATCTCCGTTGTCACGACGTGAAATCACTCCGCCGAACCCCCGTCGAACGAAGAGCGAGCATTCATTTCTGTATTGTTATGTCCTACCTTCTGGTCGGTGTCCGTCGGAAATCGTTCCTCCCCGGACCTATCTTCTCTGCGGCTGACGTAAGATGAATTTCTTATGGAACCGAACACCACTTATCTGCCAGCCGCAGGGGCAGTCCTGTGAATCCACTGTCGACATTCTGCGGATATTCCTGTCCGCGGATACTTCTGACACGGCCTTCCGCCGTCGGCGCGCTAGTGTGACCGTCTCAATACCGCGATTTCAGACTCTGAACTCACCCAGATTCGATCTTGTTTCCTGGAAGTATGTCTCGGATTCCTACTCTCAGAAAGCGCAACGCGAACGGGTTCGCTCCCGGCGTCATGGGGCATCTGTGGGGGATGCATCATGGCCCAATCCCGACGATGGAGCTCAGCGTGAATGTCGGTCCGTAATCACTTGCTTGCAGAAACCGCTCGAGCGGCTCTGACGCCTGAGCACTAGCGATTGGATATCCGGAATAATCGTCGCTCAGGAGATTGTGACGCTCGGAGCTTTCGACTTCGGAAGCTCGATCACGGCTCCAAAGCTAGACGCGGAAACTTCATCAAGGTTTCATCTCGACCGAATTTCAATTTCCGGCGGAAGCTGCCTCTTCTCCATTCCGAGCTTCCTTACCTGGTTGGATGCAGCGAGACCCTCTACAGTTTCGAAACGGACAAACACGTTCCCCTTCCAGTGAATGACTTAAATGAAAATAACGAATCTGGGCCGGACCCCGCAGCCCAGGTGGAACGTCCCGGGTACTGTTCCTAACTATGCTCCCGGAGACGGATGCTAAGAGCGGATAATGTACCCTGAAGGATCCAGGCCTTGTACCTGCTCCTCCATTAGGAAATCTCGTCAGCACAGTTGCACGAGAATTTACAAACGGGCTAACCACTCGGCCACCCGTCGGTCTCCAACGAATGATCGACCAACGCACCAGAAAATCCTAAAACATGTTGAAGTTATGCCTTCTATCCATGGAGTTGGCTGATCTGCCGTCCGAATTCGCCCAGAAATGTGACATTCGAGTCGTTCCCGTAGCTTGGCGATAGAGCTACTTTCCTGAAAGTCTCCCCTCAACTATTAGATGGCCGTCCGACATCGGCTAGAGCGAAGAGAGGCTAACCGTGATCCATATTCACCAAGCCGGCAGGCACAGAAGGAATGTGATTCTATAGAGGAATAGGTGTAAGGAACTGCTGCATCTTCTTGAACCCCAACGTACTCGCTCTCCGAAGAGGACACAAGCTCCGTGGACATCTCGAGCAGTGAGCTCCGTTCCCTCTGTCAAAAACACATCCCAGATTACGGCCGCATGTATTCGGATGTAAGATTGCACATGGATGAAAAAGCTTGAGGATCCTCTATTCTATGGGAGAGGAGCTGGGAAGTACCCTCGAGGGGGTTTTCTCGAAATCCACGGGAACAGTTCCGAGGTCGATGGAGCATACTTTGATCGGAGCGCTCACGGTACCTCAGAAGGGAGACCGTCCCATGGGCTTCACCTCGATTGTCACCTTATGCTGGCACCAATCGATCTGCTCCTCTCGAACAATCGCTGCTTCGAGGCGCTGATTTTCCCTCACCTGACAGAACGAGCGCGGTTCGCACTCGCCTCGCGTTTCCCCCGATTGGTAGACGATTCACGAAGATATCGAGCGGAAAAGACATCGGAGCCCCGCTCTTGCATATCGCTCATGCTTCGACGAAGGGGGAAAGCCTCCGACTTTTCTGAGTTCCCGGCTGCCTCGCATGCCGTGCGCCTTTCGGGGCTTTCCGAGGCGGTGTTGTCGCTATGAGAGCGATTTACTTAGTTAGAGGAGTCGCCTTGAGAAAGCCGATGAGCCCCGAAAGACCTTTGGAAAGCCAAGTTTTCTACCTCTAGCTGAGCGGGAACTCTCTGCTGGGCGGGGGCTCCGCGACAGCTCTACGAACCTGGCAGTTGCGCGTGCCTACTGGGTCATTAGGAGCACCGTAAGCTAGAAAAAGGAGGTAGGAGCAGGGTCCGCCAAAACCACTATCGTGAAGTGTTGGAGGGGAAATCTGTCGCTTCGTTTTGAGCTCTGTCTCCAGCTCCCTGGTCGAGGTTCCTTCGCGGGTAAGTTCCGCAGACCCGCTACGGAATGCACCTTAATGAGATCCACCTTCCTCTCCGCCCATACCACCATGCCAATCACTCGGAGCATAGTGTCGAGGAACGAAATAGATCGTTGGGCTGAGAGAACTCCGTCAGCACCGGGGTCAATCCTTAGATGAGTGTTTCTCCTACAAATGCCAATGATATTTCTCAAACCGTATGGGAAAGGAGTTTTTCCATCCGGGTGGTAGAGGCAATTCAGCTGTTTCGAGCGCCCTAGACCCTCAGGTGCTTCCCAGGAATAGTATTATATTTTTCGATATATTTATTCAATTGTCAATTATTCAAATTTTTATTCAACCCTGATTCTGTCTGCGACGGAAACGCGTGGGCTGGAATTTAGAGAGGAGGATGACCCGGCAGGGTCACAGACAAGATCTTGGAAAGAATTGATCAGATTCCCGATAGATGTTGACATGCATATACCGACATGTATGTTGCAGATACGCGGGCTTAGTGATACTCTGAGCCAGGTTTGGATATATTGTCGCTCGATACATTGTTCCCATCATACTGTATCCCTTGATACAGAACATTCCATCCCAAAGACGAATCAGCTTGGGAGCTCTGGATCTTGTGTCTGCCCGGGGAAGGGAGCGAATCGATTATTGCTATACTCTCCAGACATCGGCGTATCGCGGTATTCGAACAGGTTCGATGTCGTGCATTCTCGGACAACGATGCATCAACTCACGATCCAGGCTCCACATTGGTAGGCTACATGATCTACCAGCTGATCTGGTAGTTCATGAAAACCAAGAAGTCGGTCTGGAAGCGGCCCTAGGATGGACCGCCCGAATTCCAATCTAAGTTCTTCTGTCAGCTGCCTTGCGATTCCCAAGACGTTCGAAGCAGCCAGATGCGGAGCCGATACAATTTCTCTCAGAATACGTCGAACTTACCCGAGCCAAGTTTTCTTTCGTCGGTGCTTCGGAAAAGCCAGAACCGAACTTGGCGCAGGAAGTCGGAGTTCATGTGGGCGAACATGAAGTTCGTGCCACCGAATGTGACGTTCATGATGTCCAACCAATTCGAAGCCGAGGTTCCGTTTTCGTTTGCTCCCATCGCATAGTAGGAGGATATCTGGGCATGGCCTATGTGTGCTTGCCGAGCGAGCAGTCCTGTCGCGTACACATCGTCGATCCAGAAAAATGGCACGTCGTATGATGCCTCGACCAGTGCCCGCAGTAGATGAAAAGGCACGATGTAAGCTAGTCCTCCGCAGTAGGGTGGATAATATGGCAGATGATATTCGTCTTTCGAAACGAACCATTTGGACTCTAGCCTCCGCGCTACTCTCACGCGTCGCCACACCATGCAATGTATCCTCTCAGAACGTTTCGGCAGCTCCTCGACGAGATATCTGTAGAGAAATTGTGAGAAAAACTTGATCGCTGCGTCGCAAGGAACAGAATTCGATCGGAATACTTGACGAATAGCTGTGAGTTATACCTTTGCAACATCGGCATGTTCACCCATACATCGTCGTCAACTTTGACCACGGATCGGGCACCTGGTAGGCTGCATTCGCTCTTGATCCATCTGATAGCATTGACAAACTTCAGCGTCAAGTTCCTATATGTGTCTCGAAAGGAGAAAATGACCATATCGTTGTGCAGGTGGGCCTCTTCGCTCACGAGTAGATCCAGAGTGCTGTTGCCCGTTCGGCCTTCGAAGAAGACTTCCGAAATTATTCCGACCGAACCGCACGCAAAGGCTCACTGAGATCTCGAGGGTTATGCAACAATACACGACCTACCGAGAGCGAAGACGACAGCGAAGTCTGGGGGCTTTTTCAAATACTCTCGCAGCTGGCTCCTGTCCGAGAAATGCGAAGGAGCCGTGTGCACTAGGAATAGTGTTTTGATCTGCTTGTCCGTACAGAAATCCGGTATCTGTAATCAGAGAAGGACCAAGTCTTCGTATTTACGGCTTCATCCCCGGAACATTTTCTCACCACAGTCAAGACTGCTGCCCCAAACCTTTCGTGGCGTCAGTAGGAGGGGCTCGTGAGATATTCCCCTCTGTCGCTTTCGCTGGGCCGCGGGGTGGAGCTGGACTTCGGGCACAGTTCGTTTGGACGGGGACGCGAACAATATGAGCACAGTTATGATGACTGAAGCAATCAGGAGACTATTTCGGAAATGTTTCGGTCGCAGCCTCATCGATGACATGCGGGCACCAGGCTCAAGCTTCGTGTATTGAATCAGCTAGCATCGACTCCATGATACACTACAGTCACGACCGACCTGGCCCGAGTGACGCGAGGTGGCCCGTCTGACAGCGGGCCTCGAGAGAGGGATGATCAGCCAAGCGTACTCTGTTAGTGTGGTCGAGAGGTTTTTCGGAGCGGTCGGTGTTCCTTCAAGCGGCACTCATGACGCTCTCCCCACGGACACGCGTAAATATCGCAGTCATTTCGCCAAGGATTCGAGCTTCAGCGATGGGAGCGAGATTCTCAGATAGTTTGTTGAAAGAAGCGGAGCCCGCTAATCCACGCCGGCTCCAATCTTGATTCGGGGATCGGAATGTTCGGCAAGCGGCACAAATATATCTTGGATGCGAGGGAGTTCTCCAGCTGGGTTTCCTCGAGGCAGCTTCGTCCACAGGGTTCCGAAGAACTGATTAATCTCGTCATCCCTGCTCGAGCTTGGAACGGCGCTAGATCACTCGATTGCTTGGATCCTCACCGGTGAATCTCGCCAGATACTCTGCTCGATCCCTGTAATCGACGCCGACAGTGCGGAGCTCTGAGTGACATTACGATTGGGCCTTCCAGACATCCGAAATTTTCGTCGGGATACGCGAACCCAGGTGCTCACCAGCTCCAGATATTATGTTTTACATGTTCCTATGGATGAACATATCTGTTCACATATTCAATGAATCCAGCCACAGAATGTTATGGACGAGAACGTGTGAATATTTTGTTGCTCTCGATGGAAACAGGAAGTCCCCCGCAATCCGGTTCTGTATCCCGTTTTCGATGGGACGTCCGCAGGACCTGTGTCCGGCTCTTGTCAGGGAAATGTCCGATAATAGAGACGCTTGATTTGAGCCAGCGATGACGTCGATAGCACCGAGACAGCGGATCAGTTAGCCTCATGAGAGGATCTCAGAATCGAGCCTAGCGAACAATCTTCAGAGACATCGTACCTCCACTTCAGTGCTCAACGGAGCATTCGAGCATCTTCACGGTAAGTTCACGTCAATTTCGGTCATACACAGCGGGACGTTCGTGCGTCTCTGGCTGTAATGCATGGCGACCGCCGACTGTAGCATCCCTGGGAGCACGTCGAGCGCGACTGTCAGTTTCTCTCAGCTGCTCGTGCTCGCGCCTTCAATAGACGTTCAGGTTCTCCTTCCTCCGCATGCGAAGCATAAACACCCTCCTTTCATTCGCCCCGCGTCGCACACAGGGAATCTCGGTGTGGGACTGAAAATGATTGATTCGCTGATGCTCGATCTGTCAGAGATCGATGGGGAGCCCTCAATCAGCCTCTCGTCCGAGCGTAAAGTGCCCCTGTCAAGGACACGGGACGAACACAGATCTTAGATGCAGAAATCAAACCGGAAGCTCAGTCCACCGACCGAGCCTGATGAAACCCAGTCAAGATATTGAGGACTTCCATCGGGAAAATTCATCACATCTTGAGATGATGCGATGAAGCAGAGCCTAGTTTTTGCATAGACTCATCGTCCCTTTTAAGGTCTAACACATACTCTATCCAATCTGTGCTAGAAATCTCAATAGCTTCTCCGCCGAAGAATGCATTGAGGCTCTGATAGACTGCCGGGACATGATTTCATACAACCTCCATGCCACGACAGAAGGATCGGTACAGATTCCAAGCAACGGGCTAGAAGTAAATGATCTCTCTCTGAGTGAGTGGTAGACCTTCCGGAGTCTCCCGAGCTCCGGGGTTTGAATGCCCTTCCCGGCACTGCGCGGCGCCCTCGCTCGAAAGTCCTTGGCGCTGCGGCGCAGTTCCTCGGACCTGGGCTAGAGACTATTCTGCTCATCCTGCGTCTCTAATAATCCGTATGGGAATCCGGGAAGTCGGGTCTCCCAATGTCCCAATGTCAGGAGCGCCGAGCTTCAAGTTATTCAGTGTCTGACTCCCTCACGGATCTAAAATTGACACGTGAGGACGGTTGCCCAGCGGAAGCTGAGGTTCCTACGACTCCTCGCTGAAATTATGTCAAACCTTTTTGTGTCTCGCTGTGAGTTTCTGTTCGAGGAATTCGCCGATAACCCCGGTAGCACCAGCGGCAAGCCATCATAATCTTGGCGCGACCGAGTCATGGATCGGGTAGCTCTCCACATCCGCTTCACGGAGTGCCGCGCCGATCCGCACTCAAACGGAGTCTGGGATCGGCAGCCCAGTTCGCTCATCAATGCTGGGCTCTTCTCATCTCCTGAGCGAGATCTCGAGTCAATCTCACGTGCGAACGGGGAATGAAGCGATCCCGAACGTTTCGGAACCGACTTCTGGAGTTCAGAGTGAAGGGGAAACAAATGGTAATGGGGTGAAGGTTCGCTTCCTCCGGGCAGCAGAAAGTTTTTCAAGCCGCAGCATGAAGGCTTACCCGTCCATCAGATGCTGAGAGATATTCTTCGTCCGTCCCGCCTCTTTTATTATTGTGACCTGTTTGCTTCCCGAAGGAGCTGTGCTCTACAAGGGAGACGACAGGAATGACGCAGGAATGTACGTAGCTAAACTGCTTCAACGAAATTTGATAGGAGGTAACAGGATCGATTGTGGAATTGAAGTTCCCAGCTCCAATCTGATTTCCTATGCCTCCCCATTCACGAATCTAGGATTCGACCATCATTGGCAGCTTCTCTTCGATCTCAAAAGAAAGAACAGGTGCTATCGCCTCCTGGCGCCGACAAGGGAGCTCGACGCATCGGTGACCGCCGTCTCCTATTTTTCAGGAAGTCCTAGGCCATATTATCTCAGAGATGGTTCCGTGTGAGAGATCGAAGCAGGTGAAACTTTGGAGGGGGTGTTGCGGAACGTCCACCAAGTTCAATGAAAAGTCCTAGAAATTTCCTCTGCGGTCGGTAATTCCCCGGAAGAACGCCTGGATGTTCCGCGGTCGGTTCGCGCCTCTGACTCTCATGCCAGTCGGAACACGACTGGCCTATTGTTTTCCCTCGCACGTTCGTCTGCACGAGCGTCCCGCGGAACATCCCCCCGAGAGAACTCCAGCACGTTTATTAGCCTTATTCGAGACGTCTCCACCATCGGGGTTTCCAACGATTACAAAAGTAACTCATCGTATTACATCTTACTAATTGATAACACTCCGAGTTTTTCCCGGAGCGCCCTCTGGCGTCCTCTCTCTGAACGCATTCCGAACTCGTACGGCGCGGTGGCACCGTTCCGATTCGTAACAGGGGGGTCGCTCCCGAAGGACCCAGACGCGTTTCCCGCGGGATGCATCAGAAGGCTGCAGAGGAACATTGGAGCGCGGGAGATCCACGAAGAAGTTGACAAAACATGGGGTAACTCCGATCTCCAGTGTGTGCCCTTAGTTTCGCCGGTGCATCGCCACTCTGAAAGGTTCGATCGCGCGGATAGCCCCAGCACCAAGGTGAGCGGTCCACCTCCTCCCGACAGGGTTCTCCCCATCACTGGCGCCACGATGAGAGATATGCGAATCTAGCTCTAGCGGCTGTCTGCGTGGGTGATCCTCGCACGCAACGGCGAAAATTCATCCTGAGCCGGCCTAGATTGAAGCAATGCCTTAAGCATTCGGGTGTCTCGGTCAGGGCTACATCTTAAAACGTACAACACCCTCGCTTTGCGCTTCTAGCGTGTTCGTCTAGGTCGAGGATCTCTTTTTCCATAGCCGTGCTCAGATTCCTGGATAGATAGTGCTAACCGTCACGCGGATGGATTCTGTAAGCTCCTGAACTTGAGCCATGATTCCCCTCGCGCAAGAATATGCGCACCCAAGCCAATCGATGCGATACCCTCCGCCGGACTTGAGAGAATCAGAAAATAAAATTCCCCGATGAGATTGGTGCGCGGGTTTCATGTTCTCCCAGGCTAATGGATTGGACATCCGTTGTCTCGAGTAGATCCTCACAGAGAGTGTCATCCCACTGATTTCAATGCCTCGTCGGATTTGACATCGGTGGTGACACTTTCAAGAGCTGGAAAGCATCACATCTCCATTACAGGAATGGCCCTTCTGAGGGGTTACGGACGGTTTTTTTCATTATCTTTTGGTGGTTCAATTTTCCCTCCGGCTCTCTCTGGGAAACAGCTCTTTCCGCAAGGATCGCAGTCTTGCGTCATGAGAGGAGGAAAACCTCCGAGATGTCACCCTTAAACCTCAACGTACCCGTCGGGGCCTCCCGAGAGTTTTCGGTGCCTCCTCAGCGAGCGCGAGAACTTCGCAACGATCATCACTAGCCGTTCATCGTGCGGTACTCCGTATCTTGGCCAAGCCGACTGAGTTCACGAGCAGACAACTTCGATTCGTCCTCTAGGAATCAGAGCGCCAGTTCTCTAATCTCTCACGGCATCGCCAACATTACATTGAGACCGATCATTTCACATGGTCTGCTGAGACGTTCGATACGTCAGCGAGCTGCGACTTCAATCGCCGGACTGGTTTGATTGGACCTTACTCCCGAATATTCTTGCGGACAGAAGTCAGCTTCAAACTCTCCAACACACTCCCCATCCGATGTCTACAATATCAACCAAAAGTTCGCTGTATCATCTGGTATAGAGCCTCGATATCCGACGCTCCTTCGCGGCGATCCATGCGAAGTCTGGAGGTTTAGAGGCATCAGGCTCAAAAAATCGACTCGACACGCCATTCTGCACTCTCGTCGCCCTTGGACAGAGCAAGAGTACTGAGTACTTGCTCCACAGGATGAGTCTTCTCAAGGAATTCGAGCCATCAGGATCGGCACTAGGATAGGAGTTCTTGTATATCACCGAAATACTGCGCTCGCATATTCGATCATAGCCGCTAAAGTTCTCGTTCCAACTCAAATGTTGGCATGGAGCTATCGGTATATGCTGATCTCTGATTTCTGGAGAAATCATGAAGCTCTTTATGACTGAGGAGTTTCCGCCACTTGATTGCATGATGAGATGCGAGATCGTCCTTTCACGACACCAAAAAAGACCTTGACAAGGTGAATCAC